AATACTTCTGGTCCTCATGATAATATTAAAGGTACATCCACAAATGCAAGTGAAAATCGTCTTAGGTAAAATATCATTATTTCAGTAATAGCCAGCCGTTACTAAACCTAGATCTTTGCAACTTTCTCAAACAAGGGCAAAATACAGAAAGGCATGCCTGACACTGCCATTCCACCTTTTGCCCCAAGTAGGCATCATATAGATCTAAGGCAGAAGGAACTTTTAATCTGAAAAGCTTACGGTTTTATGGGCGTTGAGGTGTTGAAATTGACCTCGTTAAAAATAGCTGCAAAGATTTTGTTACTGAGTTTATTATTATTATTATTATTATTATTATTATTATTATTATTATTATTTTAATCTTCACATGATCATCAGGAATGGTATCCATGTGGGATTATTATTCTCTTCCAGAGATGCCTGCCCTATGTTTTTTTATTTGTTTGTTTTTTTCTTTTTAAAATCTGTGCCCTTCCTGAATTGCTCCATAAGGGCTTTCCTGTTACACCTGCGGGGCTGTCTGTGCAAGTGTGCTGGAGGAGGTGCAGAAGGTGGACACTAGCAAGGCACTCTGTTCTGGGCTGTTCTGAGAGGTTCAGGCCTTTACAAGGAAAGCTTTGATTCTATTTTTTGCTGAACTAGCTCAGCCACTTCCTGTGTTTGGCCGCGCATAGTGCCTCGCTTCACTGCCGGCTACTTGAGCCCTGCGAGAGCGCCGTGGCAGGCAGTCACAGAGACTATTTTAGGTCCCTTCACAATGGCCTTCTCATTTCCTTGGCTAAAATGAGCGAGCCTTGCATTGGCCACTTGTTAGCCAGCCGACGTTAACTTTGACTTTGACTCGGGCTCCCCGCCCCCACCCGAAATCCCTAGCTCAGCAAATATTTGAACCTGCCCAAGTTAATCATGAAGCAGCGATCTTTATCTGAGAGAGACGTGCAGGCGGCTGGGCCTTTTTCCTCCGCGGCTCAGCACCCACCTCGAGTGCGTGTGTCAACGGGGAGGCGGTCGTGAGCGGCAGCGGCGCGCCGCAGGCTGGTGCTGGTCTGGGCTGCGCGGGCAGCGGCGCCCTGGGAGCCGGTTCTCATTGAAAAGCCGGAGGAGCCTCTGCCGGCGCCGTCCCGCCCCTGCGCGCGCCCGGAGGCCTGGAGCGAGTACAAGGGGGGAGGCGTGTTGGCTTTGCCCTGTTGGTGGAAGATGAGCTTTTTGGATTTTTTTTACCCCCCATTTTCGGATACAGGCATTTTCAAAGGGAAACCGTTGAAATGCATAACCTGCAAAGTAAGTTGCCTTTCATTTTGTGCACTTCTCAGCCCCCTTCACTGTGCCTTTTTGTACTTTTGCTGTCGCTTAAATTTTTGGCGTCTGCACGCGCGCGCGCGCGTGTGTGTATGTGTGTGTGTCTGTATGTATGTGTCAGTGCGTGTCAGTCAGTGCTGCCTGGAGAACTGAGATGAGAGATTAGGGGAGACACTCCCTATTTCCTGTAGAGGGGGCAGTGCCAGGTAAAAGATGGGGTTTAGGTTGAAAGTTAGGGACGAGGTAATGATAAAGTGCTCAGCTAGAAGTTGGTTCCCAGCCAAGTCTTGGAGAGACCATGGAAAATCACCTGTCTCACTGCCTTCTCTGGGTTGGCATGCCCCACAGGCTGTAGCGGGCGGGCCAGTTGCACCCAGGGCTCCTAATGTGCCTGAGGGAGGGCTGGCCTGCCGGCTCACTCCTAGACTAGGGAGCAGCTGCTCCGGGAACCTTTCTCCAAAGCCTTTTTTAAAGGGTCAACATTTTTATTAAGCAAGGGGGAGAAGCTGCTTTTTTGGTTGGGGTTTTTTTTCTGACTGATATCCAAATGCATACCTCCTCACCCTCCACTTTTACCATTGAGTTCAGATTTACTTAAACCCTTAGGTCAGTAGAAAAATTGTAAGATTGGGAGAGGGTGAGCATACCTCCCCATTAAGGGGAAGAGAAATTAAATGGCAGAGGGGACACAAGTGAGCAGCGCTTAGCAACCTCCTTGGCTTTCGTCTAATTTCTATAGACTTTATGATCCAGATTTGATAGACAGTGTAGGAGAATGCATTTCAAGGGCTCTGTTTTCTTTAAATTGTCACACAAATGTGTGACATACACTTAACATAGATCACAAAACCACCATAGTTATTAAAATGAGCCACATTCACATTGGTGAGGGGGGTCTTTCTCCCCCTTCCTTCCTCTGCCCTATCATAATATTGTGACTGTAAAGAGAGACAGCTTCAAAATGGAAATGTACATTAAACTCTTGCAAGAATGGCAGCATTATGTCAAGAATGAATTTAAAGAACTAAAATTAATAATTAGATTTATGGGGGGGCTGATTTCTTTACATTAAATAATGCTGAGGAGAAATAATATTTGTCTCCAGGGTGAGGCATAGGAGATCAAGGTTGGGGGGGAGAAAGATTACATCACTCCCTTCTAAACACAATACAGCCCAAGACAGGTTCATCAGAGAAAAAGAAATTATAAATACTCCTCTACTCTGCATTCTAACATATGGTCTCTCTCTCTCTCTTTTTTTTTGAAGGAGCGTCTTACCTTGCTCAGTTTTGTTTGACAGTAACATTTTAAAGGCTTATGACAAATGTTGACAATTATATTGCTTATTTTTGCATCTTCATTCCTGCTGAGAGTTTTCTGTTCAGTGCAGTCTCGTTTTAATTTGCAGTGTTTAATAGGTGAAAAGATTCTGTCTTTGCCTCCTCTTGCTCCCCTAGAGGTGCTTTCTAATGTGCTTTGTTGGTGACAGGGTTTAACTTCTGAGTTTTCAGTGAATTAAGCAAGACAGAAATTAAGTACCCAGAGTTCTTAGCCCTTACGGCTTTTAATATAAATAGGAAGCATTTAAAGAATTTAAAGTTAGACCTTAGTCTATCATTCTGATGCCTTTGTAAGATTTTTAAACCAGGGGACCTCTAGACTATCTATAAACCCAGATGCACTAGGGAAGGGGGGGTGGAGAAAGAGCAAGCTACGTGCTGCAGCATATCAGCTTTTGTCAACCTGCCAACAGTGGATCATACCATGCTGCACGGAGTCATAAAAAGGGAATTAGAAAGCTCACTGCTGGAAGAGAACAGTCAAATTAAACACCTTTTTGAAACGATGAGCATATATATGTTGCAGTTCTGTTAAATGTCAGTCCTGAATGAGGCTGGGTTTGTGTTAAGGCTGGTATAGAAGGGAAATGATGAAGCAGGAGTGGTCTGGTGACATTTTTCTGACTTGATTGGCTGGAGTGTGTGATGTAATAGGTTACAGTGCAGCCCCTTATAGGTTTTAAAATGAATTCCAAGACACCATTACAAAGAAAGCCGGACTCTTTTCTTGTAACTGAGCTCAGCCAAGGAAACTCTTGCACAAATGTACAACACTGTTTGGAATATGGAAGACCTGGATCTAGAATATGCTAAGACAGATATAAATTGTGGCACAGACTTGATGTTTTATATAGAAATGGATCCACCAGGTAATACTGCAGTATGATTGTAGAGAGCTAGTTAATTTTGTGGTTTTTTAAAACATTTTTGACAGCAACTGTAACATATCATCTGTGTATTTCTGCTTTTATTAATTTGTTCTTGGCTGACAGTTTGATCAGAGCTTGAAAATGAAACAAATTGTTTGACCGCCTGTGAAAGCAAGCAGAGCAGTGTGGTAAATGGTTATTCTTAAGTGAATGAATATGTATTGCATTCTAGTTTGTCACTGGGGTGTTTTGCTAATTGTGGTCCTTTGCGATTGGAGTTATATGGTTTTATCCCATTCCTGCAATTAAAGTGATGCACCCTTTGTGCCGCTTTTCTCTGTTGACAGTGGGTGAGAACTGTGTGGTACTTTGCAGTGATAACACTTGGTACTTTAGAAAGCATGTAAAATGTAGCAGTGATTGCAACTCAGTTCCTGGTGACCTGAAACTATTACATAGCCTAAACCAAATGTTTAGGCTTTGTTTCTGTCTTATGGTAACATACTGTAGTGATAAAAGAAGTTGCTCTCTGTTATTTAATGCTTCATCTTTGAAAAATACCTGAGACACCTGAAATCATTTTTGCATAAATGAAAGTGGTAATACAGTGCTTTAAAAAAAAAAGAGTTCCACTGCAAGTCTTAGATTTCTTTTGTTTTCCTAATTAAGTCTGGTATTAGTCCTTCCCACAACTACGAAATTAAAACAAAAATAAGCCTGCAATTTCTTACTTGTCACCAATTAGTAGATATATTTAGATCTGACATTGAAGAAGGGGGATCTCTGATTTTTAATCACACCTGGCATCTATATGGCACAATTTACCCAACAGAATATTAGCATTAATACTAAGAAGATTTAGGTCACAGATGGGTTTCTTAAAGTGGCTTTTGGCAGAACGCTACCCGAAATACTAAGATGAGAGAAACCCAATTCCTCCTCTTAAAGCACATTGCTGTGGATGAGCTTTTTTATTACTGCAACAGCATTGGTGGAGGGTAGATGGGGAATTTGCCTTTTATAATTAAATAAGAGGAGGAAATTAAAGCCAACCCATGTGATTTCTCCTGCTCATGTGTTCCTGGTTTCTTGCTCTAACAGATTTGAGCAGGCATGAAACTTACAAGCACCTAGAAGTACAAAATTCCTTGACTGTGCCTTTACTCTAAAATTCATTCGTCTTTATTTATATACCTGAGTTTCCTTCGTTCCCTATCTGTTTCTCTTTTTTTCTGACTTTCAGTTTATTTTATATGTTCTCTTTTACCCCTCCTTGAGGCATACTCTGAAAATTTTCTACCTTTTTTTTTTCTTTTTAAGAAAAGCATCTTCAGTGTGTAGAAAAAAAAATGCTTGGTGCTTATACTTTACAAATACTTTGATTGTTTCCTTTATATAGAAAGTTATTCATCTGTACAAATTTTAGTATCATTTCAAATGTTTGAGTGTGGTTGGCATTACAAACATTTCTTTTTTTCCTCTTAATCTACAGCACTGCCTCCTAAGCCACCCAAACCCACTACTGTAGCCAACAACGGTATGAATAACAATATGTCCTTACAAGATGCTGAATGGTACTGGGGAGATATCTCAAGGTAAGGTGATAGAAACTTACTTGTCTTGTGCACTAGATACAGTTTTAGGTTTAGAGAGAAGAATAGAGAGAGAGTGTGTGAGAGTGAGCAAGGGAGCAGAGGAGAAAAAGCTACCAGCTTGCTAAGTTCCATTTTTAGGATATCATCCAACATAAGCATGAAGCACAGTTGGTTCTATTCCAAAGACGACCAAAAAAAAGGTCCCTGTGCACTGGAGAGCTGTGGGTGCTGGATACCACAGGAAATTAAATACTCGGGAAGTTTCATTATTGAACTCTTAAGACTTAATATTGTTGTCTTATAATACCCCCCTCCTTTTAAAGCATTTTTGGGGAAGGGCGTGAGGGACTAGGATGGAAGAGGAACCTTTTTAGGGCTGTTTGATGTGTGAACTTTTTTAGGACTGTTGAAGTCATTGGTTAACGAATAAATACAAATTACATATCCCAGATATACGAGTTATGGAAGTGGGTACATACATTGCCCTTTTTGGCAGTGGTGAGGGGAGTAACTTCCATGCACCTGTTTCTAATGAAATGGAAATGTGTCACCCAAGTTAGACTATATTGCTCAGCTCTGCAAATGCATTTAGTAAATGTAAATCCAGAGTCCCCAAATTCTTGAGGTGAGAATTGTCTTACCTTTTCACTCTAGGGAAGAGGTGAATGAAAAACTTCGAGACACAGCAGATGGGACGTTTTTGGTACGAGATGCCTCTACTAAAATGCACGGTGATTATACTCTTACACTAAGGTGAGTTGAGATGTAGCTGCATTCTAGCTACTTGGCTTGACATCAAAACATATTTCTTCATCAGGAAATTATGATGCTATTATTTCTGTACTGTATTTACAGGAAAGGAGGAAATAACAAATTAATCAAAATATTTCACCGAGATGGGAAATATGGCTTCTCTGACCCATTAACTTTCAACTCTGTGGTTGAACTAATAAACCACTACCGGAATGAGTCTCTAGCTCAGTATAACCCCAAGCTGGATGTGAAATTGCTGTATCCAGTGTCTAAATACCAACAGGTAATGACATCTAAAGCACTAAGTTATTACTGATACTTGAACAAGAATTTGAAGCAGATGACATACATGTAATCAAGTTTGAAGAACTTTATCCTTGTGATCACAAACTTAAAACTCTTATCATTACTAGATTGATAGGTTACTTTTATCAAATATAAACTATTTAGCCATGTTAGATATTTTACTAAAGAATAATTTTTTGATTCAATGCCTTACAAGCCATTTCTCTCTTTTTTTTCCTACTCTCAAATCCTTCCAGGATCAAGTTGTCAAAGAAGATAATATTGAAGCAGTAGGGAAAAAATTACATGAATATAACACTCAATTTCAAGAAAAAAGTCGAGAATATGATAGATTATATGAAGATTACACCCGTACTTCCCAGGTGAGTTTTCAGTGGAAATTCAATAAAAAGTTTAGATTTCATAGTTACTTGGTAGAACCTAACAAGTATTACATGCAACAACAACAAAAAGACTGAAAATACTTTGGTTTTTGTGACTGAAATGGGACAGAGAGCATCTATATGTGCATCATTCATTGTCCAGACACAGTATGTCTAAACTTTTTAAATGAGGCCTTTAATAAGTATCAAAGTAATAAATAAAGTTCACAGGATGAATGGAGAGGTTGCTGTGAGTTTTAAATTGACTTAATATAATCCTTAATTATAGAATGTGTGTTGGTTCAGAAGTGAATAACTGGAAGGTCCACAGAGTTATAAAAATCTCTGAAATGGAGATTTAACCATGAATGCACTTGACCATGAAAAGCAGAGGCTGCATTCACTCCGGTGTCTTCCTAGAGGCTTCAGTCTTCAGCTCGTCATGTATCTGAGGCCACCAGAGGGAGTAGATGATGACGTGGGGTGCCAGGAGCTACTGATAAAGTGGACCAGCCTTTTAAAAAGATGAAACTAGGACATTTTAAAGCAACCATCCTCCATAGAGTGGGGAAATTCTCCAAAGGAAATGTGTGTTTCTGCGATAATATTTTAATGGATTTTCTGAATTACTCTCCCACCTTCCTAATGGAATACTTAAATACCAGGGAAAAAAAATAATGCAGACCAAAAGTTCTAGTAGTGTCTCACCATAAGAAATTGTCTGTTCCACGCACAGTCTGACATTCTCCTGTGAAATTGTGTTTCAGGAAATCCAAATGAAAAGAACAGCTATTGAAGCATTTAATGAAACCATAAAAATATTTGAAGAGCAGTGTCAAACCCAGGAGCGGTACAGCAAAGAATACATAGAAAAATTTAAACGGGAAGGCAATGAGAAAGAAATACAAAGGTTGGTAACTGGACATTTCTGTTATCCTTGGGCTAGAGACAGACAGAATCGTCTTAAACCATTTAAAGATAATCTCATTTTCTGTGCTTGGAATAATTAGGATGTGAAAGAAAGAGAACACATTCTTACCCTGAAGAAGTCTGTGGGGAAGCCAGTCAAACTTTTCATAAACTGGGAAAACCTTCATGATGCACCCAGGTATTTACAGCACATTTATGTATCTTACCTGTAGGATTATGCATAATTATGAGAAGCTAAAGTCTCGAATCAGTGAAATTGTGGACAGTAGAAGGAGGTTGGAGGAAGACCTAAAGAAGCAGGCAGCTGAGTATCGGGAGATTGACAAGCGAATGAACAGCATCAAGCCAGACCTCATCCAGCTGAGAAAGACAAGAGACCAATACTTGATGTGAGTATTTGAACTGGACCCCTACACAATTAGAGAAGGGAATTTCTAATTGGTAATTGTGGAAATTGTGGATGAAATCTTAATGCCTTTCTGTCCTCCGCACTTTTTTTAGGTGGTTGACACAAAAAGGTGTCCGGCAAAAGAAGCTGAATGAGTGGCTGGGCAATGAAAACACTGAGGAGTAAGTAGTCCCTGAAGATGGGCAACAGCAAAAGGGTTTGCTCATTTTAAGAGAACACACCATTCTCTTTGGTTTTCCAGCAAGCCAGGGATTTTACTAAGCTTGAACACTTAGAGGAGAGAATATACAAATTCTTCTTATTGTCCAGTATTTTTAAAAAATAGAGATTACTCAGTACTAGGATTTCTTTTCATCTAGAATGGTGTCAGATGGTACCTTTTGTCCATCTTGACAGCCCTGAATATCTAAAAAAATCCCACAGTGTTTTAAGAACACTCAGGTGGAAAGCTAGTTAATTTTAGTAGACTTTGAAGCTGTAGTGCACATTTCATTTACGTTTGTTGGAAATTGACTCTCAGTTAGTTTTTCTCAGCAGGTTAAATATGTCTGGTAAGGCATCTCCTCCTGCTCAGGTGCCTCAGGGTGAACAGAAACGGGATCTTTTATCACTGACTTTGGCCAAGGAGGTGACACTGAAGGCTGACCCCAGGAGTGGAAAACTTGGGTCAGAGGGACTGAGTTGCATGCAGTCAGCCACGTGACTGGTGGTGGCCTGACGTGCTGGGCAGGAGAGGGGCAGGAACAGGATAGACTAGGTGACCAGAAGGCCCTTCCTCTGGGAAACAGTGGGCAGACTGGTGGTTTCCTTACTCTGTATTTAGAAGCCTTCTCTCCTCCCACTTAGCCAATATTCACTGGTGGAAGATGACGAGGATTTGCCACACCACGACGAGAAGACCTGGAATGTGGGAAGCAGCAACCGGAACAAAGCTGAGAACCTCTTGCGAGGGAAGCGGGATGGCACGTTCCTTGTCCGTGAGAGCAGTAAACAGGGCTGCTACGCCTGCTCCGTGGTGTATGTATCTCCAAAAAACTTTTATTTTGTCCTTTGTTAACCATCTCCTGAGGACCACTATTCATTCATTCAGCCTTGGGGAGCTTGGATCTAAAACCAGTTTAGTCTTTATAATCTTAAAGTACCACCCTGATGTCATAGAGGAGGCAGCACAGACATAATGTTCTAGGTAGGATCATCTCCTAATGCTACTATTTCGTTCAAAGACTGAGATGTGGATCCCTTCTAGTCTACCGTAAGATGTCTTTAAGGTGTGTTTATTCTCATCTTTCCTCATTTTTAACATGAACCTCACAGCGCTTGCCTCTCCCCTCACCTTGCTATCAAAGGCCACTCTAGTTAGGCTCTAAGGTAGATCAGATGAGACCACTACCTAGAGGTAAAGGACCTCCCAGAAAAACTCAGCACACTGTCTGTCAGACAGGATTGACCCACTCAAGAACAGACACTATTTTTTTGTTCTGTGCTGTGTTTTCTTTTTATTTTGTCACAGATTGAGAAGTAACTTAAAAAATGAGTCAGCATTAATACCATTTAAGAGCAGTGAGGACCTTCTAAAAGAAGGTGAAAAAAATGCATTATGTCATGTCTGTTAAATCAGAGGAATAGAAAGAAGGAATAAGGAGAGGTTTGAATAAGGACAGGAAATAGGGAATCCAGGGTACATGTGGAAAAAAGGAGCGGAGTGGACATTTGAAGGATAGCTTGAAAGAAGGGACCCTGTTGATGACTTGAGGTGCAGCAGTGGCAGAACTGACCACAGAGGAACAGTGATTGGAAGCCGCCAGGTGTACACCCAGCGTTCTATCATCCATTGTCTCGTTTCATTTTTCTAAGCATCTATGTAGCTTATAGCTTATTGTTCTGATTCCTGTAAACCATTTCCAGTGCAGTGGCTCCCTGATGTTGGGCTACCTACCAGGTCACTCATAAGGATGTAAGTGAGCCAAGCGTCCACCACCAACCTAGCACCCTTTTCCCCTTCTTAAGGAACATGGGAAATGGCCTGAATAATATGCTCTTATGTCACATTATTAAAAATGCTTTGTAGACTCGTGGAGTGTCCTGGACAAGCTCAAAAGCTATCTTGTTTTCTTCCTTTACAGGGTGGATGGTGAAGTAAAGCACTGTGTCATAAACAAGACGGCGACTGGGTATGGCTTCGCGGAGCCTTATAACTTGTACAGCTCCCTGAAAGAACTGGTGCTACATTACCAACACACGTCCCTCGTGCAGCACAATGACTCCCTCAATGTCACACTAGCCTACCCAGTATATGCACAGCAAAGGCGATGAAGCGCTGACACGCTTGCTGATCCTTCTCCTGAAGTTCAACCACCCTGAGGCCTCTGGAAAGCAAAGGGCTCCTCTCCAGCCTGACCTGTGAATTGAGCTGCAGAATCAAAGCCCGCTGTCTTCGGATAGGACTAGAGCTTTCTTCAACAAAAAAGCAGTAGGGGAAGACACGCAGCCTAGTGCTGAGTGACCATATGTTTCTAATCCGGAGTGGTTATCTTTCCTCTTTTTAAAAAAATTTTTTTTAAATTTTTTTTTTTAAATTTAAAGCCACGACACAAAGAGAAAAAGAAATACAAAAATCTCTGCGTGCAGGGACAAAGAGGCCTTTAACCATGGTGCTTGTCATTGCTTTCTGAAGCTTTACCAGCTGCAAGTTGGGACTTTGTAAACCGAAGGTAGATGGGGCTCAGGAGCCCTGGGGCCTGGGGAGGCTCGGTCCAGCCCAGCTTGGCCTGGGGATGTGGCAGCGTTCAGCCGCCCCAGGCACGTCGCACTGTGGATTATTTCATTCTCTAACAAATGAACGATAAGTAGCAGAAAGGCACTTGTACTCGGCAAGGGACGCCTTGGGAGAATGTCAGTTCCTGGACTTTCCGAGGAAATCCTGTCATTGTCGCAAAGTGCCAGAAAGTGTTCTGTTTAAACTTTTTAAAATGACAAAAAAGGAAGAAGAAGAAAAGTAAAGCCAACAGTAAAGAAGCCACCAACAGAGTAATTGAGGTTGGAGAACAGAACTTTAAAAATGACATTCAGTATATAAAATATGTACATACTATTGGATGACTAACTATCAAATAGATGGATTTGTATTAATACCAAATAGCTTCTGTTTTGTTTTGCTGAAGGCTAAATTCACAGCGCTATGCAATTCTTCATTCTCCTTAAGTTGTTCTCTCAGTTTTTCAATGTACCTTCTGAATAAGCTTCCCCCACCCTGATTTTTTGTTGCTTGAAAATACTGTTGTCTCTTATTTTTGTTAATATTCATTTTGTTGTCATTTTTTTTAAGAAATGTACAGGATGCCAGTAAAAAATGGCTTCAGAATTAAAACTATGAAATATTTTACAGTTTTTCTTGTACAGAGTACTTGGCTGTTAGCCCAAGGTTAAAAAGTTCATAACAGATTTTTGGACTAAATGTTTTGTTGGGCAGTGCCTGATAAGCTTCAAAGCTGCTTTATTCAATAAAAATGAAAAAAGTATATGAATATGACAAAGTATCGCTGAGTCCAACGATGTTGTTTTAAGACTCTTAAAAATATGGTACTTGGCAATGTTTATTTCATAAAGAATGGTGAACTTCTTGAATCTAGTTAGGGGAGGGTATGTAACAAAAGGATGGGCAGGTGGGGTGGTGGGTGGGGTGGGGAGGTGGTTCGCACTTTCTCATGATTACAGAGAAGAAGTGAGTAACTGCAAAGTGAAGTCTTTTTCCCACTTTAATAACAATTATCAATTAATGACAATTACAAACCTACTGTAACTCCTAATACTCTTAATACTCTCCTAATACAGTTAAACTGGTCAGATATTTCAGCTCTTATGAAGGAAGTTCTTGAGTTTGTTGTTGGATTCAGAACCAGGCTTGCCTTTGCTTAGAACACTGGTTCCTAGGAGAACTTGTGCAGTTCTAAATGGCTTTCTCTTTTTAACCATAGATTGTCCTTTAAAGACAAACAACACACATGCCTTTGAGAAAAAGCATGATCTGAAAAAAAAAAAAATATATATCTATATATTTGGATATTTGTTATTTTCTTATCCATTCAATTTAGAACAAATTACCTATGTTCTTTCTTATCACTGCTCTGCATCAAATGGAGCATGTTCAAAATCATAGTCATTTCAGGAACTCCTAATAATTGTATGTGTTCTGCTTTACTATGAACAAAGAAAGTAACTTTCCAATTCAGGGAACATAAGAAGAGTCTCTCCCTGATTGACATATATGAAAACTGTTATGCTCAGAAGGAATTTACATGCATTGCAAGAATAAAGACTCATTACCTTGATCAATTAAAACAATCTTGCCATTTCCATTTTCTTTTCTCAATATTAGACTGATTCACCCACAGCTTTGTTTCTAGTCCCTTCAAATAGTGGGATAAGATGGTTTTGTTCTAATGTTGCTCCTTTGAAATACTTTTGAGAGAATCAGTGTAGCAGCTGACTTAATCATCTGTAGAATGTATTTCCTTTTTCTCTTTACATGAAGCTACTCAAGAGCAAAATTCAGTTTCACAGCTAGATTGTCAGCCCTTAAACTTGACTGAACCGATCTGACCATTTCCCTCTCATCTGCAGACAATATAATTTCTCTGGTTTTAGTCTGTGAGTGTCTTTGCTTTAAAACTCCTGGTGTTAGTACGCTCACACAGAAGACAAATAGTTAATAGTAGGTTCCAATGCTAGTTTGTGTGTGTTTGTTTTGGTAGCGCATCCTTTTAATGCTATTACATACATCATTTCATTTCTAAATTAACAAGATCTGAGCTGAAATGTTTCATTAGAAGCTACAGTTTAATATATTTTGCCTAAACATTCTTTGCAAGGTGACATGGTATTCAGGTGTTTGCCTTATTTTTGCATCTCACAAGGTGACCTGCAAAAATGGATTTTTTTCATGGAATAGCAAGGCAAGATCCATCATTCCACCTCCCCATGGATTGTACCATCTCTGTTGATTGCCTTTTTATTTGCAGCATATAGCATGCCCACCACACTGGTCCTTCTTAATGTTCAACCAGCCTGGTTCTTTGGGTTTAATGAGACAGTCATCTTGTAAACAACATTGTCTCAGTGGTTCATGAGTACCAACTCTTGATACATTATTCATCCATGCATCAGTTTCCCCCACCCCTTGTAGAATCCTAAAGATAAAAAACAAAGCTGCAGAAAGGCTATGATAGGGCTGTGGAGATGGGAGCATAGGGACCTCCTATTCATTGTGCACAACAGAAAGATCATAACCACGTGAAAAGGCAAAAGGCATGTGTTTGCGACATCTGACAACCTCATAGCCCTTCATATCTGTATATATGTATATGTGCATGGACTGTGTTTCCAGTACATCTTTCGACCAAAACAGATCCACAGTTGTTGAGTTCAAGTACATAACAAGCAAATGTCTAGTACAGTTCTTGTATATGTGTGTGGGTTGTGTTTTTTCTTTCTCTTTGAGGTTGCTTTGTTTCGTCTTCTAAAGGTGAAAATTGTTTGCAAGTGAAGTGAGAAGTTCATGAAGCTTGGGCTCCCCCCCCCCCCGTTTTTAGAAGTTACTCATTTGGTGGGGGGGGGCTGGTCTGAATGACTCACTTAATGGGGAAAGCCTTGTCTTTGCTGTGTTGAGTCAAAATGTGTTTCTGTGAGCTGTCACTGTGGAAAACCAATGGCTTTGTCGTATAGCTGGTTATGAACTAGTAACGCATTTGGGAAGTCCTACTGATGTTCCTTATTGGGAGGAAAAGTCTGCTGGTTTTAATGACTGCTTTTGCTATGCATGGTGTCCAAGTTGGTGGGAAAGTAGACCCTGAGAGCTGTTTGGGTTCAGGGTCATTTAGGAAAAGGGGCAGTTTTTAAAGCACAATGCCTCACATGGGACAAAGTTCCACAATGCCAAATTCTTATTTTTCAAAAATCTAGTTATATAAAATCCTAGTATTCGGGCAGGGATAGAATTGGGTGACTTGGAAAGACTATTCAAATTAACAGGAAACTTGTCACCATGAGATAGCATTAGCTGCCTGGGATGCTGCTATTAAAAAAAATCATTTATATGTGTGTATTTTTTAAAGCTACGATCCGTTCAATGTTTTTACAGATCTGTTTATATGACATTGTTAAAGTTGGTCTTTTGACGAGAGGGAGGATGTCATGGTCAGTTGTAATTTTGCCTTTACAAGGCAACTGGGGTGGGGGGGTGGGGGGAGTGTGCCTCCTTGACATTTTGTTTCAACTATAGATTCAATGGAGCTATGTCTTGTTTTAAGTTGCTTTAATGCATTGTATTAGGTCTTCAAACAGAATAAAGGTTGTTTTGAAACGTAAAGTTTGGGGTCAAAGTTTTTAATGATCACCTGGTAGATATTTCCAAAGCCTCTTGGCTAAGTTGTTCAGTGCTACTTCTGCTTCTGTTAGCCCTCTCCCATTCTCTTTTATTCCAGAACCACATTATCTCCTTTTGGTAAAGTGAGAAGGTGGTGACATAATTGCACTATATCCTTAGTGTTGTTAGCTGCCAGTTTATGGTGATCCCACGCACACAGTGATCAAATCATTGCGATCTGCACATTTCCCCTCGATTGATTTGGAGAAGCAGAGCCTCAGACCATCTTCCAGTTCTGAGTCTGGGAACTATGCTAAGACTTAGGTGGCACCACCGCTGCAGACAAGCCTCCACTGATGCTGGTGTCTTTGTTGATGAGGTACACTGAATGGAACTGAAATGCAAGTGTCTCACCTGAAAGGTGAGAATTCTCCCACCAAATCACTGCTACCCCCACAAGTCCTCAGTAATGAAGAGCAGTATCTCTAGGGGAGTGTCATTTCAAGGTAAGTTTCCTGCTTCAAGAAAACACAAGGATATCCGCTGTCTCTCGGTCCCTCCATATTCACCCCCAGCCTTTCCGGATTAAGCTGTTAGAACTCTGGTTTATTGTGGCTTCCAGTTTTGTCTTTGTTGTATACTTTGCTTGATTTACACACTGTAGGACCTTGAGCTCTGGGGATGTATAGTCCTTAGTTGTGCTGATCATCGAAAGGTGGCACTCTGTCAGTTCAAACCTACCCGTGGCTCTATGGGGAGAAAGACGGGCAATCTCTTGTGTGGCTTAACAACCTCCAAAACCTGAGGGGAGGGGAGTTCAGCTATAAGTTAGTCCCTATTCCGTGACCTTGAGTTTGAGGTGTTGGAGGAGGGACTGTGAAGTTCTGGGCAGCACAGAGAAGTGTGAGATGGTGCTATGAACTAGGTGCAGAGGGCATCCTTCAGGTCCAGGGTGCAGAGAGGTCTGATGGTGTAGTCCATAAAGAGTTGTACTACAAAGGCAGCCCCTCTTGCCGATTTGATTTCACCAGCGATTCCAGTTGGAAAACCCACTGAAAGGTCAGCTATGAGTTGAGTGTCAAAATGCACCAGTCTAGGTGCACTATGGCTTGGACATTTGTTTTTTTATTAGTGTGGAGTGAAGCCACCTCGCCTCTTCATGGTGCACATTGTACATGTGAGCACAGTGACTCCTAGGCATGAAGAAGACAGGGTCAGTCGTGGAGGTCAGAAGGCCGTACTACTAGTAACAGTCATGTCAATGAGAGCATGTGCTCAGGGTGGTGGCTGTGGCCTCTGCTATCACCTCTATTTCCTCCTTATTCTCTGTTATATAAAGA